TATATATATATCAATATTTTATTATTTTAGCATATATTTCATGCATTATTTTTTATTATTTAAATATGATAAAAATATTATATAGAAATATAAAAAAAAATTCCAATCAAAATTTAATGAGAATATCCTAACTAAAATTTTTGATCACTAGTAGCCAATAATTATCCCCACGAAATAAAAACTTGTTAGCTTTGTGCTTTAATGCGATGGTTACTAATAACACTTCCGTTCCTTGCACGGTTCACTGAAGGGAAATTAATATCTAACACCATGACATGAGCCACATTGAGTGATAAATGATTCTCTTCGGTCCAAAGGGAAATCAGAACGCGCCACGTCATTTTTTCGCTGTGTACCTCGGTACCAAGTGACATGCGTGGCATGTTCTGATTCGCCTATGAAGTATGAACTATTCAGTGACCGCATAGAATAATATCTCACATGAGCACAATAACTGTTCATGCTAGTTTCTTTTTATTTTATTATTTTATTTATTTAAACAAATTTAAATTTATTATTTGACATGCATATATTCATCATGATTTCACAATAACTGTTCATGCTAGTTTCTTTTTATTTTATTATTTTATTTATTTAAACAAATTTAAATTTATTATTTGACATGCATATATTCATCATGATTTCATCAACATATGAACTGAATTATTAGACAATTACTATTTTTACTAGAATGATAATTGTTTTATAAAGCATTAAAAAAAAAGAAACACACAACTGTACGTGAAAGAGTTGATGATAGTTTGTCGCTTTGGACGACGAGAGCGAGTAGCCTTGGAGATTATCCCCAAGTAGAGAGATCTTGGATGGATTTATATGAGCTCCTTACCATTCTTATTAGGGACTATTCTTTGATTTGTTTCACCTCGGCATGTCACATGTTTTGATTGGGGCTTTTTTTTTTGGACGGCTTTCTTAATGCTTCCTAAAGTAGCTTTTTAATACAAATATTACACTAAAAGCTGCTTTAAAAAACAATACTAAGAAAACCGTCTCAAACAAAGACTGATGTGCGTACGACGATTTTCTTACTGCTTCCCAAAGTAGCTTTTTAATACAAATATTATACTAAAAACTGCTTTAAGAAACAATACTAAGAAAACGGTCTCAAACAAAGACTGATGTGCCTATAAATGGCAAGGAGATCGTCCAGCCTAGCTATAATCACTATAATCCGTTAGATTTGAGCCCTTCTAATCGAACTTGTTATGCACCGATAAATAATCTATATGAGCATGTACTAGTATACAACAAGTATAGTCTATATCAAATGAAAATTATTTTTTTTATAAATTACAAATACTTCTCAGACTTTATTTAAAAATCAAACAACAGGAGGTCCAATTGAGATATATAGAGTGTAAAGAGGTCGCACTGAGATAGGTTAATTGCTCATTCATTCGTTCTTTCCACGCACATTTCCACAATAGGGAAATAACCAACATGACGAGATGAGTCATATGGCAATACCAAAGCTTTATTTCTGTGGGCAACAGATCACTTTCAATCTTCATTATTAGAAATTTTCAGCAAAATAAATTATTTGGGCAAAGCTAAGAAGAAAGGCGTAAGATATCTTCACTCATATCCCTCTCGATCTTCTGATTTGTTTCATATTTCCAGTAGAGGGAACTAATTAGCAACAAGAAGACTGAAAGACAAGCAGCATATATATGATAACTATGATATTTTGATGAATGACAATTACTTCCAATCTTTCGTGTAAGTTTTAAGAAAATATTTTCTTCGCCGAAATTTATAGAGAAAGAGATGTTAATAGATGCATCTCATAGCTCACTCTCTTTCTTTCTTGTTCAATATCAAAAAATATAGACGGATTTAAAAGCATAATATAGAATTTTTTATATACTTATAAATTTAATATTTAAATTATATAAAAAATGTTATTAATATTCATTTTCCTAAAATAAATTACACTTTTTCATTTATATATATGAATTGATGTAATTAAAATACTAAAGTGATAAGATATGTAAATGAATATTGATACGTCATCAAAAAATTGCTTTGGTAGTGCACGAATCTCGAGGCATATTCAAGTTGGAAATTTTCAAAATTAAATTTGGGATCATCTGAATTATAATTTTGGCAAATTTATAGTCAAACTAAACATCTCAAAGAGACGAACCTAATGACACCAAAATCGGTCCAACCCAAGCCCAAATGGGTCCAAATCGGGGGTTCATACCACATTTGGAAGGGTCAAAATATTATTTGGATGACAAAATGATACCCAAATATGACAAGATTATAATCCAATCAAGCGCCTTGGCGAGACGAATCCAACGAGCCCAAGATCGTTAAATTCGGACATCATTAAAGCACTTAAACATCAGAAAAACTCTATATGATCGACGGAATCAATACGAGCTATCCGATGAAATACTCTGAACCAGCCTCGGATATTCTCTATATTTACGGGGTGTGTCACTCATGAAAATCTATAAATAGACCCCCACTCTTTACATGAGGAACCTTTGGCTAGAGATTGTGAAGGGCTCCGAAGCTTCAAGAGCTCCAGCACCATCTCCCGACAGCCGACCGACCGCCGTCGGACTTCTTTATTAAGGATGCATTGAATTCTCTCTAAATATGTCCAATTCATTTTGAAGCCAATAGCTACAAACTTCACAGCTCAACTTCATATGTACATGCACCCCCTAAATAACAGAAGTTAAAGATATATCACACCTAATGTTAGAAGTTGCTGTCAGAAATAATAGCAAAAAGGGCCTTAATGAACTAAAAGACAATCAATATAGTTTCCTATGCTACATAATCTTAAGTTGACAAGATATTATTGTTGAAAAGACATTATTGTTTTAGAGCATATGTGATAGGTTGCTACCACCAATTACATCATATAACAACTATCTAATCTTAAGTGGTTTCCTTAAATATTGTGTAAGGATTAAGGAAACCAATGCCATTAATACTACTCATCAATCCTTTCACTATTTTTTATCCTATTTAATTCAATAATATTGTATTGAAAATCATTTCAAAATAAATGGTTAAATTATATAAAAAATTTGTAGCATCATTTCAATTATTTTCTAAAGTACTAAAACCTAAATCCACTCAACTTAAAATTTCTAAATATAACTAAAGACAGTATTCTAAACTTACAAAACTAACTACAGATCTAAAAAAAAAATCCTCAGAATTTTGACCAAATGTTGAACATATATCTAAAAAATATACATCTAAAAAATATTTGCATTCAACACATTGGCTTACATTTTTAATAAAGAAATGATGCAAGAAAATTTAAAAAAAAAAAAAACACTCACAATTACAACAGCCGCAATGATCCCACCCAAATAAATTCCGTCTCCGCCTCTCCTATTCTTCTTTTGTAACTTTTTTGGTTTAATTTCAACCAGTCGTTTGGCTAGCCAAGGTCCACGTCTCAAGGGGCAAACCTAAAAATAGGTATGGACATCTAATAAAAATTTGTCATGTGGACTATGCTTTAATATACAACTCGTCTTGGCCTATTGGTTGAAAGCTTAGGCTTCCAACTAAGAGGTCCAAGGTTCGAGTCCATGTGTATGCGTTGTGTGTGTGAATTTGCCTTAAATGGCCTAAATTTCCCAAAAAAAAAAAGAAAAAAAAAGGACTATGCTTTAATTGCACTTTAGATGCTCTTTGACTTTGCTTTACCTATGCTTTTTACCACGCTTTACATAAAATCTTGATGAATTTGATTTAAAATAATATTTTATTGACGTCCGCTCTATGTCCGATGACCGGACCTATAATTCTCAGCCTCAAGGACAGTAGGTGGCCTGCCCAGCGAGTATTGTAGTTTGTAAATTTTTTTTAATCAAGATATTTAAGTTAATTTAATTAACGAAAGTACCAATTTTTAAATTTTTTTCTGGACAATAATATCTTGATGTTTGAAAATTCAAACTAAATACATAATGGCAAATGAGCTGTCATAAAAATTTTGGGTGCAATATATTATTAATGAAGACATTTAATATTTTCTCTATTGCTATAAACTTTATATTAGCAAGTTAAAATTTTTTTAGTAACGAATATAACTTGGCGCAAGAGATATGCTAAAAATTAGACAAAGAATAATTTCGTGAATATAAGATCGGATACACTGGCAACATAACAGGCCCCTGTCATCAAGCCATGTCTGCTCCAATTTCAACACCCGACAGACCACCGCCGCCTCCTCCACCGGTGACGCAAGGTCCTCCAGTTCAGCCAAGATGGGCCACCGCACTGAAGCACACCATATACGAGCTCCGGCTACAACGCCGCATCGCCGCTCCCCTTACAATCATGAACCTGACGTGGTTCGCAAAGTCGACCATCACAACTATCTTCCTCGGCCGCCTCGGTGACCTCCAGCTTGCTGGCGGCGCGCTTGGCTTAACCTTTGCCAATGTCACAGGCTACTCTGTGCTGACCGGCCTCTGCGGCGCCATGGAACCAATCTGCGGCCAAGCATACGGCGCCGGAAATCGTGGACTCCTTCGCAGGACCCTCCTCATGGAGATTCTCCTTTTGCTTGTTGCATCTATCCCAATATCTTTTCTTTGGCTCAATGTAGACGCAATCCTTCTACGTTTCGGCCAACAGAAGGAGATTGCAAGCCTCGCGAAGAAATACGTGGTGTTCCTTCTCCCTGACCTATTAGTTATCTCATTCCTCAGTCCCCTTAAAGCCTATTTAAACTCCCAAGGCGTGACGCTCCCCGCTCTGTTCAGCTCAGCCACCGCGCTAGTTCTGCATTTGCCACTCAACATTCTGCTCTGCAAGCTCAAAGCGCTTGAGGGCGTGGCGATGGCCGTCTGGCTGAGCGACCTCGCCGTCGCTATCATGCTTGCTTTATACGTTTTCATAACTGAGATAAACACCAAGAGCAGAGATAACAACGTTCCTCTGCCGTGGTGGAAGCAGAGCAAAGCAGAGTGGGCGCGGCTTCTGCGGCTGGCGATGCCGTGCTGCCTTAACATGTGTTTGGAATGGTGGTGCTATGAAATCCTGGTCTTGCTCACGGGGAGGCTTCCAGACCCCAAACGTATGGTGGCTATCATCACCATCGTTTTCAACTTCGATTATCTGCTATTCTCAGCCATGCTGTCTCTCGCCACCGCCGCGTCCGTGCGAGTGTCGAACGAGCTTGGTGCCGGCCGCGGAACGGCAGCGCGTGCGGCGGCGTACGTGTCGATAAGCATGGGCTTCCTCGGTGGGCTCATAAGCGCGGCGGCGATGGCGGGGGCGAGGGGATGGTGGGGTGCGGTGTTCAGCAAAGACAGGGGAATCGTAGGGGGGGTGAAGAGCACGATGCTTATTATGGCAGTGGTTGAAGTGGTGAACTTTCCGCTTGCGGTGAGCGGAGGAATAGTACGCGGCACAGCGCGGCCATCGCTGGGCATGTACGCGAGCACCGGCGGGTTTTACCTGGTGGCGCTACCGCTTGCGGTGCTTCTTGGGTTTAAGGCAGGGCTGGGGTTGTCTGGATTGCTGCTGGGGTTTCTCGTCGGCGGCGCAACTAGCGGCGTGCTATTGCTGGTATTTTTGGCTTCTATTGACTGGGAAAGGGAGGCGGAAAAGGCTCAGAGATTAGCAGCGGTTAGCTTGAACGGTGCAGATGAACCTAACAGAATACGTGATATTAGGACGGTTAATGATTAGCCGGTGATTTAATTTGAGCATATATGATTAAAATTCGCTGATTAAACTGTGTTGGATTATATATTCTGTATTGAGCAGTGCTAAATTATTATTTGGAAGATTTATAGCTTTATGTACAGTGCAAAATGGAAGTTTGGCAATGCTTTTTCAATATTTTACCGCGATTATTGATTGATCCTTCTCATTGTGCGCTTTCCTAATGAAGCACGATCGAATAAGATAATGCTACCCAAGGTTTTGAAAATCGGACCGGACAAAGAACCGGAACAAGGAGGGGTT